ATTTTCTTCTTCCATAGATTAGTGGTTGCCAGGGGCTAGCAGGAGGAGGGGTATGGGGAGCAACTGCTAATGGGTAGGGGGGTTCTTTCCAGGGTGATGAAAATGCTCTGGAATTAGCGCGAATGGTTGCCCAAACCTGTGAATATGCCAAAACCCACTGAATTGTAGACTTTAAAAGAATGACTTTTATGGTATGTCAATTATATCTCAATAACACTGTTATTTAAAAAATGGAAGTAACAGAGTTGTCACAAGGATTACAAGCTAAGGATTAAAACGAGCCTCACACTGTGCCTGGTGAACTCTGGATGAACAATCCACTTTTCAGGCAGGCTTCTTGATGAACTCCTACACCCACTGATAAGGGTAGAGTTTACCAAGCTAGGAGACACAGACACCCAGCTCTTTAAGACAACAAGTTGGTGAACTGTGTTGATATATGAAATGAATACATGAAATAATGCTAAGAAGAGAAAACTATGTGAAGACATGTACGGACATTCACAATAGTCAGAAGAGAATCTAGAGTGATGGAAGTTGTTAAGCACTGAAGTTGTTTAAGCCCATATTTCTGTCAGTGATTTTCTTCTGTTCCTTTTTACCCTGTTAGAATGCCATTTACATAATCTATGTATTAGGGGAAATTAACTACTACTAAGTCAACTGGACTTAATAATACTCATACAAAGACCCTCCTTCCAGAAAGGCAGTATTAAAGCATACTGTAGCACTTACACATAAATTTCATTAAGTATATTTTTTGGTTCAAGAATAAATTTTTTCTTGATCACAGCATGATCTAAGAGTCTAAAGTCATTATCTGATCCCCTTCCATCTCAAGGGGTCAAAGTAACTTGAGCACAATAACAATACTAGTTCACTTTTTATCAAATGATTACTCTGTGCTTGGCACTTTATTTCATCCTAACAATCCACTGATGTAGGTACTTAATGATTCCTATTTTGCAGAAGAGGAAACTGAGGCACAAGGAGGTTGAGTAAACCCAGGCAGTCTGATTCATGGGCCTACTCTCTGATCTAGAGATTTCTTCCTGAACTGTCTGTGATGCTGAATCAGCTACATACCTGGGTTCACCTGGGCACAGCTGGGCAGCAGGATGTAGCAAAGGGCAAGGAGCATCAAGAAGTTGCTCGAAGGCAGAGGAGCAGCCTGCACTAAGGATGGGCTGGTGTGAAAACAGGCACCCACTTCCCACTCAGGGCTGTTTCATCTCCCTGTCTCTACCCCAGCTCTGGCCTTGGGGCAGGGGTCTCCAACCAATCTCTGGCAGCAAGGATGGGGACCCTCAAAACACAAATTCCCATTTCCAAATTTCTCTGGGATAGTTGCTTGTGCCTCTGTGAGAACTGCTAAATGACTACAGTATAGCAGACATGGGAAAGATCCTAAACCATACTTTACTATGGAAAAGCCATGAGCCTCACCAATGTGGAAACTAAAAGACTGTAGGTGAAATTTCAGGGTAAGAGGGAAAGCTGGGCTGACCAGCACTTCGCTTAGAGTCTTAGACAGTCTGCAAGGACAGGGTGGAGGGCTAAGGAGTGGTAAGGGGAACCTGGGAGGCCACACGTACTTGCGTTGGCATTGGGGACAGGCCCCGGCTGGGTGTAATACGAAGGAGGATTCATGCCCTTCCCATCTGGGCCCGTCACAAGCCCCGTGGCTGGCCCAGGCACAGGTGCTGGAGGCGTGGGGTAGTAACTGTGGACGCCCACCGTCTCTTCATAGGATGGGGGGGCGGTTGGCACTGAGGAAGGCCCAGCAGCCGCCTGGTAAGGTCCTGGAACCGACATTTTACCTAAAGCAAAAACAGAACATACCAGATAAGGAATTCAATTGATCTCTCCTTCTCTCTCTTTTTCCCTCAACCTTTAATTTTCTATCTGGCAAACAGAAAAGCTGAGGACAACTTATGTCCAGCCTTGTCCAAAAGCCAGAAATGGAGTTATCCCTCTAAGACCCAAGAATTATAACCTTAACAACGGATTCCCTAAACAAAGATAAAAAGTAAATCCTTCCTACCGAAAATCACCAAAACCTAGAAAATCCCAAGAGGAGACATCAACCAAATTTGAGCAGTGTTTTCTTCTCACATCAAACGATGACCATTTTCTAAATCTAGTGTTTATTCTTTTTTTTTTTTTTAAATCACTGTGGTTTTCACTGTTTCAGATGACAGAAAAGACAAAGGTATTCGAAAACCAGCTACAAACTATCACAAACATAATGCTAAGCAAAAGAAGTCAGAAGCCAAAAAATGCACACTGAATGATGCTATTCACATAAAATTCAGGAACAGGATGAATGAACCCATGGGCTAGAAATCAGGAAGGTGGTCACTCTTGGGAGGGGAGAAGGATCTGGAAGGGGGCGGGGAGGGGGTCTTGCAGAGGTTTGTCATGTTCTCTAATTTCACAGGGGGGGTAGTTACATGGGTACATTCACTTTGTAAAATTCTAGTTGTACAATTAAGATGTGTGCACTTTTTTGCATGCGTGTGATAGTTTTTTAAAAAGTGAACACACATAGGGCCGGCCCCGTGGCTCACTCTAGAGAGTGCGGCACTGGTAGCGCCGAGGCTGTGGGTTCGGATCCTATATAGGGATGGCCGGTGCGCTCACTGGCCGAGCGTGGTGCAGACCACACCGTGGCGAGGGTTGCGATCCCCTTACCAGTAAAAAAAAAAAAAAAAAATGAACACACATACATACCAGCTCCCATTTTGAAGATGAACAACAGAGCAGCTAAACACATATTCTCTTTTGTGAGGGCAAAGAAAGGACCCCCCCACACCCCCACCCACCCCCCATCCTGGCAGAGACCTTACCCGCCTAGAATTACATCCCTGCACCCAGGGTGTGTTCCTGCCATGGGGCAGCTAGAGGAGGACACAATGCCGTCCTTTGTGAGGCTGTTTTTCCAACTGGGCAGGGCCACTGATGCATTTATTGGAAGAGCCATTGAAAGCTGTCTTGGGAGTAATGCGGAAATGAGCCTGAGGGCACCATGCAGGGGCTAGGATAGGCCTGCCACCTCTTCCCCTGCAGAGGCAGCAACTGATCCTGCTGCAGAGAGAAGGGGAGAATCCTTGAAGGAACTTCTGCCTTTAAACCAAGCCCAAAAGAGCTTTCTCTGGAGGAACGAAGAAAGGGCATTTCAAAGTGGAATAAAGTCAGTAAATAAAGCTAGATTAAGGCTGGCCGGTTAGCTCATTGGTTAGAGCGCAATGTTGTAACACCAAGGTCAAGGGTTTGGATGCCCGTAAGAGCCAGCCACCAAAAAAAAAAAAAACCTAGATAGGTTGGTTGGTGCTGGGTTCTAGAAAACTTTGAAAGTTCCTTGGAGGTGTTCAGACTTTATCACACAGCACTGTCCAATAAAACCATCTGTGATGATGGAAATGGTCTATATTTGCGCTGTCCAAAATGGTAGCCATCACCACATGAGGCTGTTGGGCTAGTGTGACCAAGGAGCTGAATTTTTAATTGTATTTGAGTGTAAGCAATTTTAATTTAAACACAAATATTCAATTCGATTCTTCCAAAGCTTTTATGCAAGTCAGGGACAACTCGGGTATGCAAACCTACTTTTTCAACAGTAAATTTGATACACTCGGAATATAGATCAAAATGTTTTTGATAAAAAATAGGCATCCAATTTGGGAT